GATAGATAGATAGATAGATAGATAGATAGATAGATAGATAGATAGATAGATAGATAGATAGATAGATAGATAGATAGATAGATAGATAGATAGATAGATAGATAGATAGATAGATAGATAGATAGATAGATAGATAGATAGATAGATAGATAGATAGATAGATAGATAGATAGATAGATAGATAGTTCTCAATCTGTCTAGGAAAATAGTTCCTTAGCAGCAACTGAGGAGCCTCGAGGACTTATTCACAAGAGAGACCTGGCTTTAACAAGGAGTGATGACAACAGTGGACAACAAAAGCAACAGTAGACATTCATAAAGCATACAAATTGAGAATAAGTGCAAATAAAATGGTATTAAAAAAATTAACCAAAAAAACAAAAAAAAACAGCTAGATTATAAGGTGGTAAAAAACTAAAAACAGGAACATGTGTGCATTGGTCCTTGCCAGGAATTTAACAGATGTTTGAAGCCACTTAGAGAGGTCAAGGTCGAGAGCTTCAAATATTTTTGTAAGATATTCCAGGAAACTGGAGCGGAGTAGGAGAAGGCCCTTTTGCCTAGTTCAGTCCTCATTGAGGGAACACTGCAGGTAATAATGTCCTGAGAGCGCACGCTGTAGCTGCACTCACGCAGAGACATGTAGGAGGAGATGTATGAAGGCAGCAGACCAAGAAGTGATTTAAAGATGAAAATGTACCAGTGAGAGAGTCTGCGTGAAGTTAATGATGACCAGTTAACCAGTGAATACAGGGTGCAGTGGTGGGTACGATAATCACAGCCAGTTATGAATCTTAGCGCACATGGGCAGCGTCCAACATCTGCAGGGTGCTTGTAGGAGCGATCATGTAAATGATGTCACCGTAATCAATGGAGGGAAGGAAAGTCGCAGAAACAAGGCGTTTCCTAGCATTCAGGGTTAGACAGGATCTATTTCTGAAAAAGAAACCCAGTTTAACTTTCAGTTTCTTTACCAAGTTTTCCACGTGGAGCTTAAAAGAGAGATGTGAGTCGACCAAGATACCCAAATATTTATAGGAATCAACAAACATCATTCATAAAAATCAAAGGAAGAACTGTGGGGACTGACTGTTTGAAAAAAGCATCCCTTCGGTTTTGTCAGCGTTTAGGACAAATTTGAGACAGAACAAATCAGACTGGATGATGTCAAAAGCGGATTGCAAAAGCTGGAAAACCTTAACAACTGTTTTAGCTCGACAATAAACAACTGTATCGTCAGCATAGAAATGTAAGGATGCATCAGTAATGATCTGACCTACATTACCTATTTAGATTGTAAAGAGGGTGAGTCCTAAGACTGAGCCTTGTGGTACAGCCTTGTTGACTGTTAAATAACTGGATGAAGTACCATTATGTTGAACACATTGGGATCTGAAAGATAGAGAACCAACCAATGGTGTGATCTGAGAAACTAATTTCTGAGAGCTCATGACAAAAGATGTTATGATCTTTCACTATTTTAACTCTAAACGCAAACTCTTGTTTGTTGTTTTTAAAATAATGTAGGCCTAGCGTATTCTGGCAGTGGCTAGCTACATCACAGTTAGCATTGTAGCTAACTGTGGCACATTTATCTGCTATTTAATGTTTATGAAGCATTCACACTGTTGTGATCCATTTTTTCTTCCGTCCGTTTTTCAGCATCTTTCTCGTTCCACAATTTTTGTGCTATTTCAACAAATATATCAAAACATTCAGCTCGTTAAGGAAAAGGTGCTGTGACTTTTGGTATTGGTGCAACTTTAGCTTTTTGAAATATTTAGCCTTTTCTGCCACTTTTTCTCATAAAAAATAAATTGAGCTCATTTTATCTCCTTCAAATATTTACATCTGTTTATAACCTTTTACTGCTCCTTTCTCATTTTGCTCCGGTTCTGCTTCCTTGTGCAAATTTACAGATCTCTCTCGTAAATGAGTCCCCGAGGCTCAGTGAGACCAACCTGCATTGAAGAAAAAAAACAAACAAACAGCTAATTTCAGCTGTTTTGTGCTCCTTTCAGCTTTATTCTGCTAACTACAACATTTGTTGTACTTCTTTCTGCTAGTTTCAGCTTGTTAATAAGCTGAAACTATGCTCCTTTCAGCGTATTTCTGCAAGTTTCAGCTTTTTCTGTTATTTCAGCTACTATTTAGCTGTTTTTATGCTAATTTATCTTTCTAATTCCATATTTTTTGCACTCATTTCAACTTTTTTCAGCCCAATTCAGTAAAAAAAAGTGCTCTTTCCACTTCCTTCTGCTAATTTAAGCTTCTTTCTGCCTTTTTAGCTAATGTTCAGCTGTTTTTTTTTTTTTCAAATTTCATCTTTTTTCAGATAAAATCCACTTCAGTTTTTTTTTCTCCTAGTTTAAGCTTTGTCCGTTCTCTCAAGCTTTTTAGCTCTTTTGATGCTAATTTTAGGGGTTTTTTTTCGGTTAATTCCGCATTTATTTGCTCGTTTCAGCTCTTTCTGCATCCTTGTGGTAGTTTAAGCTTCTTTTCAGTTTTTTTTTTTTTTTAAGTTTCATTCTTTATTTTGCCAGTTTCCTTATTTTTGTTTAATTTCTGCTTCTTTAAACCTATTCAGCAAATGTGTTCTTTCTGCTTTCTAGTTTTGGCTTGTTCTTCCATTTCAGCTACAAATCAGATTTTTTTTTTTTTTAGCCAATTCAGCTGTTTTTCAGAAAGTTCTTCTGCAATAAGCTTTCACACTGCATTTTTGCAGGAAATGCAATTTCTCATTATTGTAATAGCCTTTAAATGATCCAACTTGTGTCATTTAAATGTATTTAAAGCCATTTTGGGGAGGATGTTACGATGCATCTCACTGGGAGAGAATCATAAAGCTATAAATGGGTTTCCAGGGTTGACTTTATGCACGTGGTGCAGTTTTCACATTAAGCTGTGCAGGACAGGAGCAGCCACCTTTCTTTAGGCCCTTTTTAAAACTCACCTGTGTCACACTTAAAATCAATGTTTTCTGGAGGAAACTTGGAGCAAAAATACAGAAAACAAACAGTTGCACATTTTCAGTTAAACCGTTTTGATCACATTTAAGCACAATTAACCCGTCATTACAAAATAAATCTGTTTCAGTGCAAAATGTGAAGTAAACGCAGATAATTACTTGACTTTGTTAATTTGTTGGGAGTCGAAAGAGTTGTCAGAAAGCAAAGAGAAAACTAAGATTTAGATGTGCAAAAAGAAACTTGAGCTCCAGCATAAAATTGTTTAGCCAATAAAAATCTGAGTAAAGCTGCTTCATCTTAAGCTATTCTTTAAAATGATGTTTGTAATTCTAAGGATAAAGCTTTTATTTTTTGTGTTTGACATTTGAAGCAAAACAGTTCTTCATATTTAAACTCACGTCTTCAGTTTATATGGATCCAGACTAAATCACCATTTCTAAAATGTTCCCTTTATGTTTTACTTTACCAACTTAAAAATTTACAAAAAGTTGCAGATTACTGTAATGCCAGTGATAATGTTCAAAAGTAAAAATCTTACGTAGTAATGCAAATGATTCATAACTATGTTTCTAAAACTGAATGGAAATGTGCAGAAAAATCACTTTTTAGAGGCAGAAACATAAATTGTACAAGTTCTCTGTACGTTTTAGGCTTTTCGTTTTCTCAACCGATCTTCACTGACTGAAATGAGTTCAAGACAAATGTGGTCAATATGGGGGGAAAATAAGCAAAAAATAAAAAATATACATTAAATAAAAGCTTTCATCGACCCCGTTTACATTTTTTTTTAAATACATTTAGATTTTGCTCTGCAGGAGAATCAGGCAGTTGTTAAGCTGTAGAGCAGATCATACCAAACATTTTGCACACACTGAAGTGGATCAAAATAGATCATGAACAATAAGCAGGTATGTTCAGTAATCCACCTCCTCAAGGCTCTGTGTCAGACCACCCTCATTTTGTGCCTCGTGCAGGTGTTTGCTGCTTGGTCAGTGCTGCCCCCTGCTGGAGACAAGACCTGCAGCTGAACACCTTCACAGCAAACTGAAATGTACATACCATAAAAACAAGAGATACATATTATTTATCAGCATAATTTAGAACGTCTTTAACACATCTATTTGTAACCTTTAGGTTAGCTGCCAAATCAGTCGACTTTAGTGGCTTCAAACTTCAAATAAAACTTTATAAAAGTTCCCTGCAGAGTCCAAGAACTAAACCCCGTTTAAAAACTTGTTTATTGTAGTTGTGGCATAGTGTTCAGTTCCCTTTGAAAGGGTAAAAATAACCAGCACAAGTCCAGAGGTAGAAATCATCAGTTTGAACGTTTGGGAAATCGCATCATACATCCTCATGGTGACATGAACACGCACGCAGTCAAAGTAATACAACGCAAAATGTTATTTCTCGCATTTTTCCACATCAGCAACAAGACTCTCCACTTAGCAGTACCCTCAGTTACACAGCACTAACAAAATGGTACATGCTGCTATAATTCAACACCAAAGGGCTTCATTCTGCGTAAACAAGTTTTAAATAAGAGGCAAAGAAAATGCAGGAACCATTTTTTGAACACTTTAGATCCCGTGACTGTTATGGCTGATCGGTTGATTTTTGTAGTCATAAGGGTAGCCGCTGACTTAAAGAACTACAAATATGGCCTTATATAGCAGCCGTGAGTATTGTTGAGACACCGAGAAGAGAGGACTAAAATAAACGTTTGTTATGGCATGGTAAGCTGAAATATGTTCAGTGTTGAAAATGTATTTCAGTAAAAGGGAAATGAGCGAACAAGCCACGAACTTTTCACAGGCAGTTCAGGTTATTTGACCCACGACAGGTTGAGACAGCGGGCGATGAAGGCGTAAGTGTCTGCCACCTCCTGGATGACTTTGCTGGTGGGTTTGCCGGCTCCGTGTCCCGACTTTGTGTCCACGAGGATGAACAGGGGATTTGTCTGCTTGGGGTTGCGGCCAACAGTGTGCTGCAGGGTGGCGATGTATTTCAGAGAGTGGAGAGGCACTACCCGGTCGTCGTGATCCCCCGTCAGCAGCAGCACCGCGGGGTACTGCACGCCGTTGCTTTCTGGGATGTGGATGTTATGCAGCGGGGAGTACCTGAGAGGTGGAACGCAGTGGGTGAGTAGAAATAATCCTTTTGGAAAAGCTGGGAAAATGACTTTCAACACCAATAACAGATGTGACAAAGAAATTAAAGTTGCAGTGACTTCTCAAAGGTCAGGTGACCACCCAATATTTTTAAACTCAATAGTTTTGAACTGTCAGATTTACAGATCAAATACAATCGGTGTATTGTGAATGCGTCAAGCCCCGTCTGATCATCAATTTATGAATTTATCAATCGTCCTTTAAAAAAAAAAAGTTGCTTCAGAAAGTTTTCCTGGTGAAATTGTTTACTGGCAAGAACTCCCCAACAGAAAAACACTTTACTAATATGCGTCAGCAGCTCAGTCGGTGCCATCTTTATGCACCAAGCTCCTTCAAAAGAGAGTACAGTAGTCCCTCGCTACTTCGCGGCTCGACTTTTGCTGACTCTTTTGCGGTTTTTCAAAGTAAGATTGTACACGACACACGACTGTCAACTTTAATATTGCTCATGTGATTGGGACGGTACGGGACACAGTAAGAAGTTGACGGAAATAAAAATGTAAAAAAACTCGGACAGGCACCGCCATTTTGCAGTTTTCTGTCAATAAGCCTACACTGTATCACCACTCAAAAGGAACTACATTTCCCAGAAGCCAACAGTGCTTCCAGCCATTGCTTTCTGCTGAAATGCAGAGAAAGTTTTGATCCGATCTGAAAAAGTTCAGTCCTTATTCGTAGAGACTTGGGTGCCCAGTGGATGGAGAGCCATATGGAACAGTCTAGGAATAGGACCAGAACCGGACTTCAAGCCTCCTTGGTCAATCTGAGTGCTGCTTGCTGGACCATGAGGCCTCTTGAGCGAGAAGGCGTTGTGCTTTCTCCGGAGCTCACTGGGACTTTTTTCGTGTGGATTTGGACTCAGTAGGGACCATTGTGTGGTTTTGTGCTGCCTATCCGACGGTCCGGCTCTCCCTCAAGGTGTTTCGGTGCTCAAGGGCTGCAGCGAGCCCATCAGAACCTGCAGGGTCTGACTCTGCCGAACTGGAACCAAGCCGGACCGGAACCGAGCTGCTGTGTTCTGCGGAGCTGGTGAGTAAAACTTTGCAGTACTGTACAGTACATGTACGTATGTTGTTAAAATTACATAGGATTAAGAGTTTAGAACATTGTGGGTGTTGCCGCTGCAGGGTAGGTCCGTAGAACCAGAACCGAGCTGCTGTACACTCACTATTCACAGTAATCATTATCAAGATATCTTGATTAATAAACTCTTGCTAAATAAACTTTTGCTTTAGTTTAGTTGATTTAGTTGACTGAACTGTTTTGGTTTGTTGTTTCAAATCAAAAATCTCTGTCAATTTAACTTAAGGGTTAAATAATAATAGAAAAAAAAAACTATAAAAAATTTCCTACTTCACGGTTTTTCACTTATTGCAGGGGGGGGGGGGGTGTTCCTAATCAATGAAGATTATAGGGTGACCCCGTAATATTCAACAGAAGAAGAGCAGGGTGCAAACAGCAGTCTCTAAACCCCCAGAACGTCCGGCTGCATGTCTACAATGACTCCACAACACGTCTCTGCAACTCACTGATGGAAACCAAAATACAGCTCCTAGAAAACATCTGCTCAGATGAAACGGAGACGATCAACATGAAAAGGTGCAGCAGTATATTCTTAGTATTGGTTTGCTGTGCACAAAAGGCTCAGATCATAATCTTCTCACAGGAAGAAGTTCAGAGGTGAAGCATGGCGGTGGAAATGTCATGGTTTGTGGTCATTCAATTTCTTCAGGAACCGTCTCTGCTTTCGTCAATGACTCAAATGGGGTTGTCACATCTTATCAGAGAGCTTTGAAGTGAAATGTGAAGACACGAGGAAAGCTTTCAACAGCTTAACAACTTTAAGTACAATAAAAATAAACTAAGTACACTAGTAAAGGTACCAAGAAATTGTTTGAAAACAAGAACTTGAGGAAATATTTGGTCCAATAAATATGAATCACATTGACGCGTGGGGAAATTGACAATCCACTATATGAGAAATGTTCGGAGCCAAGGGTGCACTTCATTTTACAACAAAACAAAACAAACTGTTTTGTTTAAAAGGACGACAGTTTTCAGGAGCAGCTCTTGACATTTACTAGATTAAAACAAGAATCTACTTTGACCAAGAAGCACGTACTTGATGAGCCAGTCAAACTGCTCTTTGTCTTCTGAACAGCCGAAGTCTGTGGTCCACGCGTGGCCGATGGTGAACTTGTGGAACTTCAGCATGTCCATGACGCCCACCTGAGCCACAGCGCAGCCGAACAGCTCGGGCCGCTGGTTCACACACGCCGCTGGGGGCGGGGGGGAGCACACAAACAAAAATGTTACGAACTAAGTCTCACGATTAAAAATGTTGGACTTCTTCTGAGCAGTGTGAATCTTCAGGACACGCACCGACGAGCAGGCCGCCGTTCGAGCCTCCGTTTATGGTCAGCTTGGATGAGGACGTGTATCCTTCCTTGATGAGATACTCGGCTGCACACTGGAAGTCTGTGAAGCAGTTCTGCTTGCTTGCGAGCATGCCAGCTGAAGAGAGAACAAACCTAAATGAGCAGTTTGTGCTGATTTTATTTCAAAACTACACTCGGTACATGGATGTGCCCTGTCGCAGAGATTTGAATAGTGAATGTTTGTAGTTTTTGACAAGTAAACCTTAATGTTTTTGTTGCAAGACATTCAAGTGTGTAGGAGTTACACTGTAGAAGAACAGTAGGCCGTTGTGTTTTTCTTGTCCGAGGCAGCGCAGAGACAAATCCTGGCGAGCGAAGAGTTTTATTAACCACCAGGTGCAACGGCGGAGCAAGGGGGTGTCCAATGGTGGCCATGATCACCTTAGATTACTCTTCATCAACCCCAATTATGTTAGGAAACTATATTTTAAAGCAATTTAATATCTAAAAAGCATAGTTTCCTTAAATTATAGTGGTGGCTGGTTTACATTTATTAAAGCAGTGTTTCCCCTAACATTACACAAGCAGGGCGCCCCGCCCTGTCAACAGAACAGAGCGCCCTGCCTACCGAACCGACACCCCCCCATCCAGTCAACAACTGCCGACACTGACATAGCACTAAGCTAACGGCACGCAATACAGACATGCTAGCTAGACAGCTAAGCACTCCACTTCCCTCACACTGAGCCGTCTAACCCCCCCCCCCCCCCCCCGCTATTAAACTGTTGGCACAAACAGCACGCAACACAGACGTGCCTCGGTTTCCCCGTCTCCACCCCCCAGTCGACAAAAATCGCAGAAGAGACAAGCGCCTTGCCAAAGCAAACGATGTAGGGGAAACACTGTAAAGTTTAATGGCGGTGGCCATTTTGGATTTTGACCTGGCACAAATCAAACTGGAAGTTGTTACCTCACTTATTTTTCAAGTTATCTTGCTCACATTAATGGACAGAAGGTATTTATAATTCCCCCTTTTCGCTCCACGATGGGAGACAACTAAAAGGACTGATTAAATGACTAAAACTGAGTAAAGAACTGTCATACACATTAAGAAAACGTGTTCCACAAACACAATTATGTAGCGAGGATAAAAAAAAAAGAAAAAAAGCATTTCATTTGTCACTGGAGCAGCCCTTGAAAGTTTGTTTACCTTTGTGCCAGGTCTCCCCATACTCTCCCCCTCCTCTGATGTTGGCAACAGCTAAAACTCCTCCCAGGTGTCGAACAAAAATGAGCCGAGAGACGCTGTAGCTCGGTGTGATGGAGATGTTGAAGCCCCCGTAGCCGTACAAAAAACCTGGATGGGAGCCATCCAGTTTGATTCCCTTCTTATGAACAACAAACATGGGTATCTGAGTGCCATCTTTGGAGGGGTAGAAGATCTAAAAAAAAAAAAAAACACAAAATGAAATGATTCAAAGGAACTGAGGGGACAGAAAATGAAGATGTAAGATGGTGGAACAGAACAAGCGTTGCATCATTCACATCTCTCTTTCAGTCCGAGTCATGAGCCACAAAAGACGAACCATAAAAGCGTGTTCTCAGGGCATTTGCAGATCTTCATAGTTGCTATATTAATTCTAGCTGCACTAGTTCTCAAAAATAAAACAAGAATTGTGATTTGTGACATCTTTTCAGAAGCAGAACAGAAACTGGATCTTATCTCTGATGGTTAAAACTGGTGGCGCTGCCTTCAGTTTGTAAACTAAAAAGCACACCAAGGTCTAATGAAAAGGTTCTTACAAATAGATAACATCAAAGATAAAAGCGTTAACATAAAATAAAATTCATTATAACGAGCATAGATGACAGTGGTCATCAGTCACACACATCCAAACTCACTTTTAATCACATTTCAGCACTTGAAAATTAAAAGTGTTTGCTTAGAATTTTAGCAAAATGTTTCTTGAGCAGTATTTTTTTTTTTAATAATTTCGACAATCCATGATTCATCGAGACGTACCTGGGTGGTCTGGTAGTCAGAGGGGTTGAAGCCTTTGACGGTGACCTCTCTGAAGATGTGTGGCTGCAGTGGCTCCTTGGTTAGGTCACAGTGGAAAATGATGGCTAAAAGAGACAGAAAGCAACATTCAATTTGAGTCTACACAAGTGGGAAATTTATTTCCCTACACAACAGGGTTTATACATTTATTTATGTTTTGAGTAGATGACTTTAATCTGTTTAAAGCAGTGGTTCCCAACCCTGCTCCCTGAGGAACACCATGCATGTTTTAGTTGTGTGTGCCAAATATCGATTGGCTGCCAAAATGGTGGCCGCGGGAGCATGCACGGGAGGACTTTTAACAAGAATTTACAATTATTCAAACAATTATTAGTTTGCTCAACATTCCAGTAAAGTCAAGTCACATTTATTTATGTAGCACATTTAAAACAGTAACTGTTATCAAAGGTGTGTCTCAGTTGAACTTTTCCTTAATAAATGCACTTTAATGATCAAATCAGCTGCATTTCGCCTGGGCGGCAGCTGATTTGACGTTTGCTCCAGGTGTTCCGAAATGTGATGAAGATGGCTTAGTATGGCAAGCAAAGTGTCTCATTAATAGCCACTTTTGCCTATTAATGAGACACTTAGCTTGCCATACCACTCAAAGGCCCTCTAGTGGATGCAAATGGTAATGTTTAATACTTTTCATGTCAGAATGAATGAAATTGTCAGATCTCAGCCAAAAATTGTTATAAATATGGAAGAAAAAAAAACAAAGTAGTCGCTTCGGTGTATAAGTCGCAGGACTTGCAAATTTATGCAAAGAGGTGCGACTTATA